AGTCCCCATATAATGTTTTATTTATAATACTCCATCTTTGATAATAAGTAAGATATTCGCGATTGTCGTTTTTGTAAAATTTTCAGTTTTTGCCGATAGGGCGAAAACAAAAGACGATAGCTGTTCGGAGTTTTCGGCATTAACATTTTCTCGAAAAACGAGATCATGACATGTAAGCTACTTTTTTTCTATCTCTTTTAGTTTCGGAGATAGCCTATGCGGACATCGAAATTGGGACACCCTGTACTGAATGGTTAATGATAAAGTATAAACTATTACTGTTAAGTACATAACTAATAAAAGAAAACTAAGAAAACTTTAAAAAATTGTTATTTTACTTAGTATTGAAAGTACTGGAAGTAGATAAACTACTTGGAGTAAACAAATAGTTCTTCAAGTACTTCTTATGTCAAACAAGTAACAAGTTTAAGTTTATTAAGTACCTACAATTTGAAAGTACTGGCAGTAAACTATTTAAAGTGAAAAATAATAATAAATTTTGAATACTTTACTTGTAGTACATTTTTACTGCAAGTAGCTCAACTCTGATATTACCAAATAAATTAGTGTGCTGTTGACACCAAGAAGTTGTGATTTATTTCGCTAGATTGGCTTAATGACATTCTTAACTTCTTTGTTTCTAGTTCTAGGTCTGGGGTTAGTTCTAGTTTTATATTGCTAGAACTAACACAAGACCTAGAACTAGAATCATTCGGGTTTAGCCGTCTTTAGAGACGTGCGGCTAAACCCGAATGTTTCTAGTTTTTGGTCTAGTGTTAGTTCTTGTATTAACACGTAGTCATTGATATACAGTCTATCTAACGATGGGTAGTCATTCGTTATGCATCAAAAGTCTAAGAGAACATGGATATTTGATCCGAAAATATACGTTGTAATCTCACCTAGTTTTGTGAAAATAACTTTACTTTTAAGTTTATCAGATTGATTTTGTGCGTGGTTATAAAATAAACAATTTGTAGGGTAGTTGTTGACCGGTTTAATAGGAAAATGCATGGTTAACATTGCTTATGACGTCACATCGAAACTTTAATATGATTTTTCGATATGTTCTACACTTTTCCGCACTTTCTTCTTATTCTTAACGTGTTTTTTTGGGTCATTCCACATCGATTAAAACGAAAATCGTCGATTTTTAAGCAACATGATGATTCTTAAATTTTTTCTAAATTTATTTTTTGTTTTTAGGCAAAAAACACGAGCACGACAAAAAGAACAATCTCAGTTTAAAAAGACGGAAAATGAATTAACTCAAAATAAAGTTATGTATCAACAAGTACAACAAAAAGTAACACAAAAAGCAATAACGCCTCCAACGACAACAAATATAAATATTCTTCAAAATATAAGTATTCCTACTCATATAGATGCAGATGAGATCGATGGGAAATTAGAAAATATGGAAACCGGTTTGAACGCTTCATTAAATGAAACGGAAGAGATTCAATTAAATTCAGATCAACTTCCTATAAATCTTCCTCCTTGTAGCACAAAACCGATTCAACCAGGCATAATAAAATCTACGGGAGCTTTAATTCCAACAACCAAAAAAACTTTAACATCAAAATGTTTAACCGGACAAAAATTAATCGTCGTTTCAAACCCTCAAAGTATGGCCACAACTAGTATTTTACAAAGAACTTTAACTATTCCATTTGTTAAAAATATATCAGTCAAAAATTTTGATAAATTTAAAATAGTAACCACAAATAGTTCGTCTACAAATGTCCAATTGACTTCTTTGTCCAATAGTAATATAGCCACTGGACAAAGTCCAGTAACAAAACACAAAGTAGTTACTGTTCGTACCAACCCAACAGTAAAAAAGGTGATCCCTTTGTCACAATTACAAATATTAAACGCAAAGGGTGGTATAAAAGTTTTACCAATTGGAGGAAAAATTATTACAAAAACAAATTCCGGAAGTACACCAGTCTATATAGTAAATTCAAGTAACATGCAATGTTTAACAAAATGTACGTCGAGTACACCGGTTATTATGACATGTAAACCGCAAGGTTCACCCGAAAATAAATCTTTATTGGTATTAAAAAATCCAACTCAACAAGTACAACAAAATCTCGAAGTTGATGATCGAGAGATAATAGTCGAACAGGATATAATCGGAAAAGAAGTTGAAGTGAAACAAGAAGATGGGGAAGAAGAGGAGGTTGAGGATGAGGAAGAAGAAGAAATTACGGAGAATGTTAAAAAACAATGTAATTTAAAGCAAGATGATGTAAATAAGGATAGTTTGAATGAGGTAGATGTAAATGAAACCAATTTAAAGGAAGATGTAGAAGAAAATATTGAATCTCTTGAAAATGATTTAAATGATGATAATGAGAAAGTTATTGAGGCGAATGAAAAGACTGAAATGGTGCAATGTACAAATGAGTTTACTTATGTGAATGGTAATAATATTTTATTAGGCCCATTTTTACCATCTTAATAAACTATTTTAGTTACTATGGTTATGGCAGAGATTAATTTTTCAATAGGTGGTAAAAGTGGGCCTTAGTGGTTCAAGGTTATTACTTCCAGTTAACAGGTTGAAATTGAAAAAAATATAAGTTTGATAACCTTGGATAAACAATACTGTATAAATTTTTATTTATATATTTTTTTATTAGGTTTGTCACCAAGTGTTTTTCCAACAAGTAACGTTTAAAAAAAAGAGAAAAAAGACTTTTAGCAAAAGATGTTGTGTTGTGTTAAAATAAATAATAGTGAATGTGGTGAAAAATGTAGTAAGTGTTTTTTCAGTTTGTAAGTAATGAACAAGAGAAATTAATTATTTATTTATTAATCTTTAATATTAATAAAATAAAATTTATAAACTGTATTTTGACAATTTAAGGGTGGACCGTTTTGATTTCTTCTTTAGTGCTTGTACATATATATCATATAAGAAGTATTGTCATATACATCACATTGTTAACATCACATTTTTCTTTAAATATTATTATATGTTATTCCTATAAAATTATTTCCCAGTGAGTCAAGTATTGTAAGACACTATAAATTGCGTTATTATTGTGATGAGAAATTACGAATAACAGAAAAAAAGAAATCTAAACATTTTTGTATATATTTTTTTATATTAGTTGAAATACAGAGCATATTTATCACTGATTATTATTTGTTCTATTTTTATGTATGTTTAGCATTAAATGTTAAATTTGAGGTCGATAGGTCAGCAAATATAACATAAAAATTTGGTTTCTTTATTAATATTAGAAATTTTTTTGTAAATACAGAGTGATTCTCAACCTATACGCATAAAGTTGCGGTCGAGGTTTCCAGGATATTAGATCACCTCGACCTATTCATCTTCCAGGATCATTATATAGATGTCACCGCACTTCCAACGAAAAATGTACTATCTTGGAGAAACCACACAACTTGTCTAACATCAAGACTACATGAAACACTTGCACTAAAACTAGAATTAACACTAGACCTAGAACTAAAAACATTCGGGTTTCTTAAACCCAATACTTTCTAGTTCTAGTGTTAGTTCTAGTTTTAGTGCAATAAAAATATGCAACTAACTTATATCTTATGCTAACTAACGCTACCTACCACTATCACTAGAACTAACATTAGACCTAGAATTAGAAACAGTCGGATTTAGCCACACGTCTTTCAAGACTGCTAAACCCGAATGATTCTAGTTCTAGGTCTTGTGTTAATTGTAGTGATTCTAGCATTAGTTCTAGTAACAGTACTAGTATAAAACAAACAGTCACATAGAGCCAGTACAGTCTGCAGGATAAAGAAATCTTGGTTTGTGCGTTTCTATATAGAGGGAGCGTTCAACAACGCAATACCACAATCTCTTGAAAGAGCTGCTCTTGACAGGGGAGTGGAAGCAACTATAGCGGGTTGGATCCGCAATATGCTAGATAGTAGAATAGTTTCTACTTCACTCCACGGTGATACGATACGCTTCAGGCCGGGAGGTGGCTGCCCGCAGGGAGGGGTGTTATCTCCCCTGCTTTGGTCCCTCCTAGTTGACGATCTGATTGCGATAGTCGAAGCCGTTGGTGTGGAAATACAAGCTTATGCTGATGACATTGTCGTTATGGTCAAAGGAACCTGTTTGCCGAGGATATCTAAAGTCCTCCAGGTGACCCTAGATACCATTTGCGCTTGGTGTAAGGGAGAGAACCTCTCAATAAACCCGCAAAAGACAATTGTTGTGCCCTTCACCAGGAAGCGAAAGTTGGATGGACTAATCCGCCCAACTATCCAAGGTGAAGAAATTCCTTTCTCAAAGGAAGTCAAATATCTAGGAGTAATCCTAGACAAAACCCTGTCATGGAATGGACATTTGCAGGGAGTTTTGCACAAAGCTAGACTATCCTTGTGGACTTGTCGCAGTCTTTGTGGAAAAAATTGGGGTCTTACCCCTGAAAGACTGTACTGGCTCTATGTGACTGTGGTTAGACCTATGATCACATACGGAGCAGCAGCCTGGTATAGGAAAGTCCGACAGACTTCAGTTATCAGTAAACTTTCACGAATTCAACGAGTAGCTGGATTGGCAATCTCTGGTGCGATAGGCACAACGCCAACTCTAGCAATGGAGGTTCTGCTTGGCCTATCTCCTCTGCATTTGCATATAGAGAAAGTGGCTAGAACAACCATTTACAGATTTAAGCAATATGCTCAAAACTGTTCCGACATGTCCTACCAATGGGCTGCGGAAGACATTATAAGCACTGATACTGTGCTATCAATGCCGTCAGATTTGGCGGTATCACTATCAGTGATTAATGCTCGATACCAGATTGTACTGCCTGAGCGGCAGTCCTGGATCGAAAATGAAAATTCTCTGGTTCGGGCAGACATTTGCTTGTACACAGATGGATCAAAAACGCCTGAAGGGGTAGGAGCAGGAGTATACTGCCAGACACCTCGAATTAAGCAAGCCTACAGCCTGGGTACGTACTGTACTGTATTCCAGGCGGAAGTATTTGCTATTGACATGGGTGCTAAAATCCTTCTTGAAAGAGGGGTGAAGAACATGACAGTACGAATTTTCTCAGACAGTCAAGCCGCTCTCCAGGCGCTGCAAGCCGTGAAAACGGTGTCGGCTCTGGTTAATGATTGTAAGAGAACATTAAACACACTGAGTTGTGATAACAGAGTCTCTCTGATCTGGGTCCCGGGTCACTCTGGGGTTGCTGGCAATGAAGCGGCAGATAAGCTAGCACGAGATGGCAGCGCTGAAGCGTTTGTGGGACCGGAACCAGCAGTTGGTGTATCATTTGCGATGGCCAAATATAGGATTGGACTGTGGGCTGAAGAGAGACTTCGCCTACTGTGGACCAGTTCTCCTGGAATGAGACATGCTAAGGTGTTTATTAACATCGCCACTGTCAAACCCGGGAATATTTTAGGACTTGCCCGTAGTAGCATAAAAGTTCTAATGGGTGTTTTTACTGGGCACTGCCGATTAAAAGCACACCTCAACTTGTTGGGTTTAGCCGACGATGTTGAATGCCGACTATGTGCGGAGGAAGCAGAGACGGTTGAGCATGTTTTATGCCACTGCCCTGCCGTTAACCGTATCAGATTCTCGATTTTTGGGTCGCAGTTTATCTCCTCAAAAGATCTGAATGATCTTTCGCCGAGCAAGGTATTAATGTTCGTTAAGAGCATTGGACTGCACGGTGAAATTTGATCCTTAGGGTCGCGGTGCAAGGTTGGTTGGTCCGCCTACCCGATATGCATTCTATTTAATGTAATATAATGTAATGTAGAGCCAGTACAGTCTTTCAGGGGTAAGATTTTTGCCACAAAGACTACAACAAGTCCTCAAGGATAGTCTAGCTTTTTGTAAAACTCTCTGCAAATGTCCATTGCATAAGAGGGTTTTGTCTAGGATTACTCCTAGATATTTCACTTCCTTTGAAAAAGGAAGGGTTGGGTTGGGTTGGTCTGTTTCGGTTTTATTGAGAGATTCTTTCCCTTACACCAAGCGCAAATGGTATCTAGGGTAACTTAGAGGATACATCAAGATTAACAACAACAGCAAAACATTGTAAATAACGAGTACCAGTTAATCGGTTCTCTAGAATAAAAAGACCAATAAGTATTTACAATTCTAGCCCACACTTTCATAGAAAATCATTGTTAATATGAAAGCTTCTGCAAGTCTGCTCTTCAATTACATTCATAACTTCCTCTTCGAAATTGACTATGTGTACAGGTTTAGCTGTTTATTACTTGTATAATAAATTTACATTAAATTTGTGGAATATTTTAGGAATCAATATACAGAATATAGTTAGGTTATGTTTCATAAAAAAAATTATCTTGAATTAGTGTCAACGTCAAAAATCAACAAAAATAATTTCCATTTTATAAAATAATAAAAATGATTAGTGAATTAAGACATAACGCATCACCATCACTCTCAGCGAGTGGTTCTACTGAGCATTCCGATGGTTCTGGTGACAATCAATCCAGAGTAAGTATCTTTTATATTTTAAACATTCTCTGACAGAAAAATATCTTTTAGACTTCATCTGAAATACAAGAATACACAAAAATCTTGGAAGGACATAAATCGCAATTTGATAAATTATGGGCTAGGCAATACGAACCATCCACACCTTTGGTTGGTTTTGATATGATTAGAGTTTTAGGTACTGGTGCTTTTGGACAAGTCGTAAGGCTTATTTGTTAAGACACGAATCATTAAAAATCTATACATAGGAATTATTTTTTTTTTCAACGAATAAGGTTTTGGCTAAACACAAAATTACGAGCGTACATTATGCAATAAAAATCCAAAAACAATCGGTTTTGGTTAAAACGCAGCAAGTGCATCATACATACTATGAAAAAAGAATCTTACAAAGCGTTTCTTTTCCTTTAGTTGTTAATATGGATTTTTCATTTAAAGATTCTACGTATATTTATTTTGTAATGCCTTTTGTAAATGGTGGAGATTTATTTACTTATTTAAAAAAGTAAGTAATTCTAGCTATTAGTACTCACATTATTACTAGAACTTATTTAACCCGGCTTAAGACCAAGAACTAGAAACATTCGGATTTAGTTGAACGTCTCTCAAAACGACTAAATTCGAATGATTCTAGTTCTAGGTGTTAGTTCTAGTAATAACAGTGTTAGTGTAAAACTAGGACTAACACTAGACCTAGAAACTTATTTAAATATTCTAATTCTAGTGTTAGTTCTAGTTTTAATTGGACCACGTTATGCATCACCTTGTTTGGTGCCTGACAGCATGAAAATGTCTAAAAACGATAAAATTCAACAAAATCAATTTTAAAATTAAATCTAAAATATTTTGTAGAGTCAAAAAATTAAAAGAAGATTTATGTAAATTTTACGCAGCCCAAATAGTTCTCGCATTGGAATACATACATTTTCTTTCATTGGTATTTCGCGATTTAAAACCAGAAAATATTATGATCGATTCAACAGGTTACCTAAAAGTTTGCGATTTTGGTTTTTGCAAAGTAAATGTTCCACTTTTAATAATTAATTTCTTTTTGACACAACAATTTTTTAGTATGTAGATACAAGAACGTACAGTTTATGCGGTACCCCTGATTATTTAGCACCCGAAACACTATTAATGAAAGGATATGGAAAAAGCGTTGATTGGTGGGCATTTGGAATTTTTTTATATGAAGTATCAGCTGGATATCCCCCGTTTTATGATGCTAACGATATAATTCGATTTGGAAAAGTCGTTTCGTTGCATTATCGATTCCCAAAAGAATTTAGCGTCGAATTGAAAGACTTAATTAGAAATTTATTACAAGTTGATTTATCGCGAAGGTCTCTATAACACAAATCATCTTTATATCATAAATTAATCATAATTAATTAATTAGGTACGGTATTTTAAAAAGGGGAGTTCTCGACATAAAATATCACAAATTCTTTAATGGAATTAATTGGTCCGACATTTATCAACAAAATACTAGAGCACCTTACGTTCCACAGGTAAAATTTAAATCATCAATTAATATAAAATAGAAATAATTAAATGTTTAGGTTAGAAATGAAGGTGATACCCGTCATTTTGAATCAAACGATGAAATTAATTATGTTATTGATCCTGATGATGACTATACAGAACAATTCAAAGATTTTTAATTAATTTATAGCATATTTATATATTTAGATTAATTTTTTTTGTGATATTAAATCTAAAAAATGTGTATTTTAATTAAGTTTAATAAAATTAACAATCAACTTTATTTTATTACGTTTCCATTACATCAATTACATTAATACAACAAATTGTTTTCATCTTATAATAAAAAAATGAAAAGAAATTAATTTAAAAAACACACTTACAATAATTGGATCGACCATATATATATAGACATTTACTGAGGGTTGGGTTGAGGTGGATAATTATATCCGTACTGCCCTTGGGGAGGTGGAGGACCTTGCGCAGCCGGAGGTCTCGGATATTGATAACCTTGAGGTTGCGATCCATACTGAGGATGAGGCGGATACCCAGGTTGGGGAGGATAATAATTATTTGACGGTGCATTTGGGGGATAAGCTTGATTTGGGGGCGGTGTAAATCCAGTGTTTGAAGGTTGAGAATTTGGAGGGTATGGAGTTTGAGAATACGGTTGAGATGTTGGAGGAGGTGGAGCGGAAGTTGCTGCTGGTGGGGGATTACTTGCTGGGGGTCCTCCCGCGAAAGGTGGAGATTGAGCGTTGTTTGGTGGGAAATTATTCGGGCCGGGGCTGGGTTGATTGTAATTTTGAGTTGTTTGTGGTTGACTTGATGGGGGTGGTGGATAACCACCTTGTTGGGGTGGGTAACCAGGTTGAGGAGGATAATTTTGAGGCGCTGTAGAGTTTTGATAGGGTGGATTCGCAGGGGGAGCTCCATAAGTACTTCCTTGGGATGGTGGGGCATTTGGGGGTGGTGGATATGGCCCTGATTGTGGCGGCGCTGTATTTGGGGGTGGTGGAGTACCATAACCGGGTTGAGGATAATTATTATGAGTTGTAGTAACTGGAGGTTGGCCGTAATTTCCTTGATTATTAGCTGGATAAACTGGTGGCTGATTAGGGGGATATTGGCCCTGTTGTGGGTAACCTTGTGGTGGATAATTCCCAGGATATTGTCCTTGTTGGTAACCCCTTTGTGGATACGGTTGTGGCGTGGTTCCAGGTCTTTGTGGACCAGGTGGTTGACGATAAGCGCCTTGTTGTTGGTGATTATAATTGTTCATGTGTTGATCTGGATTGGGAGGTTGCCCATGGGCTGGTGGTGTACCCTGCGGAGGCTGTAACATCTAAAATGAGCCACTGTTGTAAAAGCTACCTTTCTAGGTGAAGATGAAACTCACAGGAAGTAACGAGTGCACATTTTGGGAAGCATCTGCTATACTGGCCAAATAAACCAAGTTCCTATGCAATAATTGCTGATATTGCACGCATTCTTGGGCTTTTCCTTTGCTTTGATAATCTTGTATTGTTTGAATGAGATGACCATTTTCATCGAGCATTTTCTGGATTTGAGCTGGGTTTGGAGGTCGCGCCCCTTTTTGTGCAAACGTCATAGACATTTTTAATTAATAAATTTACTATTTCTTGAACGTTGGCACGAAATTTAAGTCATTTATTACGTATTATTTTACACAATATTTTTTTTAATAATTTACAGTTTCTAAGCGTCAACTAAAAAGGGATACCAACTGTATTTTACCGTACTAATAAACCGTCCATAAAAATATTTTTTTTAAATAATTTTTAAATAAATCCACATCTATTTTGTTGCATTATGAATTAAATGTTATAAATATACTACATTAAAACGCGTTTATTTAGAAGCAAAATTTTAAGTTGGTACTAAATTTCTGACAAATAAATATTTTAGGTTAGGTTTGTCATTGCAACATGAAAGTTAAAAGATATAAAAAAGTGAGCAGGTATTTGAGTTTTTATATAAATAGTTTTAATTTTCGACAACCATATCAATTATTAATCGATGGGACTTTTTGTTTAGCCGCGTTAAACGTTAGTTATTAATTATTTAACAAATTATTTTTAACCTAATTAGTTCTTTATTTTAGAATCAAATAAACATAGCGGATAACATCCCGAAATATTTAAACGGCGAATTAAAATTACTCACCACGCAATGTGCAATAATAGAAATGGAAAAATTGGGGGCGAAATTACAGGGAGCTTTGTTAATTTTAAAACAATATTCTTTACACAAATGTGGTCACGAACGACATCCAATTTCTGGGGCAAAATGTTTCTTATCAATGGTTGGAAAAAATAATGAAAAGCATTACATCATTGCAACACAAGATAGGGAATTACAAAGCAAATTGAGATCTTTACCTGGAGTTCCTCTGCTTTACTTACATTCGAAAGCTCCTGTTTTAGATCCTCCATCAGAAACTTCAACAAAATTTGCCAATTTAAGTCTAACAGAAAGATATGGTGTTCAAAAAACTGAACAGGGGACTTTGACAGAAATTAAGGCTTACAAAGAAGAAGTGGATGTAAATAAAAAGCCAAAGAAAAGGAAGGGACCAAAAGGGCCAAATCCGCTTTCTTGTAAAAAGAAAAAGAAAAAAATTGGTGACATAAACAAAGAATGTGTGAAAAAGGATAAAAATAAATTAAAAAAGAAAATAAGAATTTCAAAACATGTTAGAGATGAATTGTTAAAGTCTTCAATAAATAACACATAATTTTTTATTATACATGTTTACTTTCTCAAGATATATATAGGAATCATCACATTGTGAATTACATTATGATAAGTAATTCTACTTATTATAACATGTCTACATGTTTATTTTTTATCTAGGACTTATGACCCGTTAGTATTAAATAGATTTATATTACTTTTCGCGTCCCTTAAAAAATAATAATAATTAAACATGATTTAAAACACAAACATAAAATTAAATATCAACTTATAAAATACATATTTACATTATTTACAATATAATAAAACGGCAAATTTTGATCAACACATTTTTTTTTCTTCCTATAAATACAAATTGCCAATACATAGTGTTGTTACATTTAAAAACACTACCTCTTTTTTGCAAATATACAAAATCTATAATCGTTAATGCCTACTGACTAACATTGTATCACATATATATTTTTCTCACATATTTTTAAATACATATTGATCAAAATTTGTAAGGTTATTTACAATTTTTCGATTTATTTTCAAATAGAGAGGTGGTTTATTAATTTTTATCGAGTTTTTGTGCGCAAAATGACTTAAAATTAATTACTTTTTGGTCCATATTTTTTGCTATTTTCAAAATTTATCATAATTTAAAATTCGAGTTATTAATAAACCATCTCAATATCAAAATACAGTAAAACCTTAATATAACGAACCTCGTTATAATCAACTCGGGTTATTCCCCTAGTTGTTTTATTCCATGTTCATAAACTCGGGGTATTCCCAAGGTTATAATAGTTGTTATTCCGCGCTAGATTATTATATATTTTTGTTGAACTAAAACTGGAACTAACACTAGACGTAGAACTAGAATCATTCGGGTTTAGCCGTCTTGAAAGACGTGCGGCAAAATCCGAATGTTTCTAGTTCTAGGTATAGTGTTAGTTCTAGTTTTACATACACTAGCACTGTCACTAGAACTAACACTGGACCTAGAATTAGAATCATTCGGGTTTAGCCGTCTTAAGAAACGTTCGGCTAAACCCGAATTTTTCTACTTCTAGGTCTAGTGTTAGTTCCAGTTTCACACTAACACTGTCACTAGAACTAACACTATACCTGGAACTAGAATCATTCGGGTTTAGCCGTCTTGAAAGACGTGCGGCTAAATCCGAATGTTTCTAGTTCTAGGTATAGCGTTAGTTCTAGTTTTACACTAGCACTGTCACTAGAACTAACACTGGACCTAGAATTAGAATCATTCGGGTTTAGCCGTCTTGAAAGACGTGCGGCTAAACCCGAATTTTTCTACTTCTAGGTCTAGTGTTAGTTCCAGTTTTACACTAACACTGCCACTAGAACTAACACTATACCTGGAACTAGAATCATTCGGGTTTAGCCGTCTTGAAAGACGTGCGACTAAATCCGAATGTTTCTAGTTCTAGGTATAAGTGTTAGTTCTAGTTTTACACTAGCACTGTCACTAGAACTAACGCTGGACCTAGAATTAGAATCAGTCGGGTTTAGCCGTCTTAAGAAACGTTCGGCTAAACCCGAATTTTTCTACTTCTAGGTCTAGTGTTAATTCCAGTTTTACACTAACACTCACTAGAACTAACACTATACCTGGAATTAGAATCATTCGGGTTTAACCGTCTTGAAAGACGTGCGGCTAAATCCGAATGTTTCTAGTTCTAGGTATAGTGTTAGTTCTAGTTTTACACTAGCACTGTCACTAGAACTAACACTCTAACTGGAACTAGAATCATTCGGGATTAGCCGTCTTGAAAGACGTGCGGCTAAATCCGAATGTTTGTAGTTCTAGGTCTAGTGTTAGTTCTAGTTTTGATTGTTATTCAGCGTTAGATTGTTATATATTTTTATTAAACTAAAAGTAAAACTGACACTAGACCTAGTTAATTCATTATATTGAGGTTTCACTGTAATTTAAAAGGGAAAAAATAGAAATTAAATAGTATCGATCTACTGAATGGAAAAAAATTAAGTAATCCATTCAAAAGTTCGTTTTTGTTGTAAAAAATATGAAACATGTGGGCATTATAATTATTGCACGTTATAATTCTGTTTAAAATCAACATTTTGGCAGTCTTTAATTTGTATTGTCGTTCAAAAATTTTAAAGAAAAAATTAAAATACCTAAATCAAAGTATTTTTGATTAAACATTTCTTATTTTTTTGATGCTATTTCGTATTCAAGCACCTTTTTACATTTAACCCTTTAACAACAAATTTGTAAGCCATCATTATGTAATTACTTGATTAACTAATAATGATGGTGGTGTTGAGCCTCTTCTAAATGCGCTTATAAACAACGGTAAAGCATTGTAGGGTTAAATCGAGCAGCATTTAAGCTTACATTTTTAAATATATCCAAAAATGATCTTTTAATTATTTGGTGTTGTTTCGTTATTTTTATTCCTGCAAGTATTTCTTATGCTTTGATATGTAGTGAATTATGTTAATTTCTAAAATGTAGCTACACTTCAACACCTTGCTGACCATTATTACAATATTTATCTGCGATAACCTCGAGTAATTGTTCAAATTTTGAATGTCTCTCGAGAGGTGGTGAATAAGCACCTCTACTTCCCCATAAAAATTTTAATTGAAATTCCGTTCTGAACATTTCAAGTGTTAAATCGTCCATTCGAGCTTCACCAAGCACGATTTCGGCGTTTCTATGAAACGTGTTACACAAATTAACGAATTTTCGAGCACTATCTAAGTGCGCCAACAAAATACTAAGTCCAAAATCGTGACTATTCACTTCCCAAGCGGTTAAACAATTCGCCGTTAAAAAATTATGACAATTGGGGGTGATGAAATCTTCGAGATTGCGTTCAATCAATAAAATATATGGGATGAGATGTGGAATTGTTGTGTTAGGCGCTTGAGGGTTTGAGCAACTATTCATTGATTTTAATGTTGGGCGTAGTTTTGATTCAAAATTGAAAGCCGAATCGGTGTGTTTTTGACGGAGAAGGTGCCAAGTTGAATTTAATCTTTCCACCTAAAACATAAATCGATAAGAATAAAATGGGGATAATAAATGTTTTTAAACTTACTTGTGGGGAACATAACCCTAACATTATTCCACAAAATCCGTACAAATTTCCGAGGGCTGTTTTTGTATCAATCGCAACCTCAATCCATTTATTTAACATTTCGGCTCTTTCATTTTCATCGGGACATGTTAAAATGGTTACAGCTACTAGTAATTTAAGACATTCAGTTCTGAAAAATTATAGATAAATAAATTTTGGTTATAAAGATAAAGGCTTTAATTGAAGAAAATTAATCAAAGAAAATATTAATTAACTAGAATCATTCGGGTTTTTTTGGGTTTGATTATTTTGTGTCACATGATGATTTTAATGTCAAAAGTGACATTTGAATGACAATTTTCTTACAATTTGACATCTTAAATGACAGCTACACGTCAAGTTGAATCGTTAAATGTCATTTTATCCATTAAATTTAGTAATTTTGTTTAACGTCAAGCTTTTAATACCAATAGTAACGTCTAAATAACAGCCTAAAGACAAAATTTACAATCTGGCATTCTAAATGTCACCTCTTCCTTATTTTTTTTCTACTAATTGACATTCTAACTGTCAAATTTAATTATTTTGTATCACATGATTTTAATGTCAAAAGTGACATTGGAATGAAATCTTCTATACTTCTTTAATCTATACATTAAATTTACAATTTTCTTACAATTTGACATCTCAAATGACAGCTACACGTCAAGTTGAATCGTTAAATGTCATTTTATCTGTTAAATTTAGTAATTTAGTTTAACATGAACCTTTTAATACCAATAGTGACGTCTAAATGACAGCTTAAAGACAAAATTTATAATTTGACATTCTAAATGTCACCTCTTCCTTATTTTTTGCTACTAATTGACATTCTAACTGTCAAATTTAATTATTTTGTATCACATGATTTTAATGTCAAAAGTGACATTTGAATGAAATCTTCTATACTTCTTTAATCTATACATTAAATTTACAATTTTCTTACAATTTGACATCTCAAATGACAGCTACACGTCAAGTTGAATCATTAAATGTCATTTTATCCGTTAAATTTGGTAATGTTGTTTAATGTGAACGTCTAAATGACAGCTTAAAGACAAAATTTATAATTTGACATTCCACATGACATCTTTACCTTATTTTTTTGCTATTAATTCACATTCTAACTGTTAAATTTGATTACTTTGTATCACATGACGATTTTAATGTCAAAAGTGACATTTGAATGAAATCTTATACATTAAATTTACAGTTTTCTTACAATTTGACATCTTAAATGACAGCTACACAACATGTTGAATCATTAAATGTCATTTTATCCGTTAAATTTGGTAATGTTGTTTAATGTGAAGCTTTTAATACCAATAGCGCCGTCTAAATGACAGGTTAAAGACAAAATTTATAATTTGACATTCCACATGACATCTTTACCTTATTTTTTTGCTATTAATTCACATTCTAACTGTCAAATTTGATTATTTTGTATCACATGATGATTTTAATGTCAAAAGTGACATTTGAATGAAATCTTATACATTAAATTTACAGTTTTCTTACAATTTGACATCTTAAATGACAGCTACACAACAAGTTGAATCATTAAATGTTATCCGTTAAATTTGGTAATGTTGTTTAATGTGAAGCTTTTAATACCAATAGTGACGTCTAAATGACAGCTTAAAGACAAAATTTACAATTTGACATTCTAAATGACATTTGTTCCTTATATTTTTGCTACCAATTGACATTCTAACTGTTAAATTTGATTATTTTGATCATACGAATGTTGAAATGTCAAAAGCGACATTTAAATGACATCTTAAAGATTAAATTTACAATTTTCTTAGAGTTTGACGTTCTAAATGACATTTCTGGCTTATTTTTTGCTACCAATTGACATTCTGACTGCAAAATTTGATCATTTTGCATCACATGAAGATGTGAATGTCAAAATTGACATTTGAGTGACAACTTAAAGACTAAATTTGTAATTTTTTTATAATTTGACATTCTAAATGACATCTATACCTCATTTTTTACTACCAATTGATATTCGAAGTAACTTCGAATCAGTTTCTAAAGAAGGTTGCAACATGGCATTCGAAACATCAAACCTTTTCTTAAAAGACTAGTTTTACTTCTAATTTTAGTCCGAACGATTCTAGTTTTAGGTATAGTGTTAGTTCTAGTTTTGCACTAGCACTATTACTAGAACTAGCACTATCTATGCCTAGAACTAGAATCATTCGGGCTTAGCCGTCTTGAGAGACGTGCAGCTAAATCCGAATGTTTCTAATTCTAAGTATAGTGTTAGTTCTAGTTTTACACTAGCACTGTTACTAGAACTAACACTGTCATTAGAACTGGACACAGTCTGAAGACGCACGGCTAAAGTCTGTTGTTAGTCGTCTAGTGTTAGTGTTAACTCTAGTTTATTTATTATTTAGCACTTTAATACTAGATTTAACTTTACATATTCGTCAATTAAACGAAAAAAAAAAATTACACTGAATTTGAGGTACTTAGTAAATTATTCTCCTGATTTTTAACCAAAAAAAATGTTACATACCTTTCCAATAAATCCAATCTAAACTGTCTACCATGCGGTAAAGTACACAATTCAATCCCGCTACCAAATTTTGAGCTTTGTTCATTTTTATATCCATCGAAAATTAAATCCAAATCAATTCTAGTTAAGTGATTAGCTAATATCCTCGATCCGTTATCTTTCAAAATCAACTTAATTTTAATCAACGCATCGCTATCTAACGGTTTATTATCGGCTATCGGAAGTAATAAAGTATAAAAGCTTTCCAAATCGAATTTTGATGCGACATCCAACTCGAGTTGTTCTAATTGAAGTAATTTTTCTTCGGCGGCGACGTAATCAAAATCAAAATTTTTTAACGTTGTCGTCGATTCGGATGTGGCCAAATTATAACGAGGATTTTTAATAATCACGCCTGAATTTCTATGGGTTGATGTTAACTCAATCGAATCACCAGCTGCTGAACTCAAAGCTGAATCGCCGGATCCATTTCCTGAATCAGAACCGGACGCGTGATAAGAGGTAACCCTTTGTAAATAACCATGGAAATTTCCATCTAAACTGGTTTTATCTAGAATTGTTTCGCAATCTCTTGGAAATCTTGATGGTTTCGGTGGTGGTGATTCGGGCGTTTCATCCTCACACAAAGAGGTATCACTACATAAACGAATATGTCTACCTAAAGTTCCTGTACTTGGTGAAATTGAAAGACGAGTACAAGAAGTTCTTGGTAAAGAAGCAAATTTATAATTTAAATTATTTATTGTATCGGAACCAACCGATCTTGTCATAACCGGTTGAATCACACCATCCGCACTGTAACATTTTTCTTGAGCAATACGATTAACTTCAGATGGTGTTAAAGATTGTGATCTTTGCTTTTTTGACGGTAATTTAGGTGGCGAAGGATTTGATAATCTCGTTGGCGAATGCGAATGTTGCATTGGATTATATCTTAAACCGCCACATCCGGGTGTACTCGGCGAAATCAATCGATTTTGATGTTGAATAGGAGCGGGATATTTCGATGCATAAAACGATAAAGGATACATCCGATTTTTTGGAAATTGAATTCTAGCGCCGGACGCTGCCGTAATTGGTTTACCCGAACCAACATAAGAAGTGATCAAATCGGGAACGGTATCGAATGGATCATCCTCAAATTGATATTGTACTCGTTCGTAAACAGTTTCTGGTTGGAGAATTGTTTTTTTTATGACAAAATGTAATGGTTGAAGTTTGGTCCTACAAGTGAGGACGTAGTTTCCTGGTTGAGAGGTGCAATCGCGTACCAAAAAGCCACCTTCCTCCCGAACGATTTCTTCTGCTCGTGATCTTGGAATCGCACCATGATACCAAGCATGCGAACGGATGTCTCGGCCGTCTAACGATAATTCCCATTCTAAAGCTTTTTTTAATGCGGCTGTATCCATGGACGGATCTGCACAAGGCTCCTAAAACAAAGTAAGAATATTTTATTCAATAGAATCTTTTAATCAAATATAATATTATGATCCCTTTCATCTCGAAATAATAATAATAAGTTATTGTTATGATTTTATTTACAAAAGTGTCAATAAAAATGTATTGCAAAATTAAAATATATAAAAAACATTTTTTTTTAAATCTCCTAATAATACTAAAAATGATATTTATTTATTATATTTGATATGAAAAAATCTTTTAGAAAATATTATTAGGTTATATTCGAAAATGTCACATGAAATCACCGCGGCTTTATTCTTGGATGTTAAGAAATGATTTATGCTTCTATAAATAAAGATAAAGGTTGGTATTTTAAGATAAGATGCAAAAATCTTGGAGTTAATGAAACTATAGTAAATTAAATTTTAATTCTTTAAAACGAATGTCCTAGATAAGAGTTGTTTAAGTTGGCAATATTTGTTAATAATCTGTCAAAGCTGTCAATATTATCAAACGTCAACGTAAACGTTTGGGATTACCAACGTTCGTCAAATTGTCATGAAAACTTTGAGCTGTTTGGGTGATGAAAATTGAATTCGTTGATAAACGCGGCTATGGTTGGGTAAGGTTAGTTTTCTCTTGAAATGACAATCATCCCCGTAAAGAATGTTAGGTAAGGTTAGTTTTGTTTACAAATGTCAATCATACCCGGAAAGCATGTTGAGTAAGGTTAGTTTGCTTTGAAATGTCAATCTGGGAAAAGAATGGATGTGAAAAGAAATATTTATAACATATCTGGCTCTTCTGTTTTATGGCTGTTGTTGTTACCAGAATGTTTCTACCATAACAGAAATGAGATAATTGCAAATCTTGATCAGCTCAAAACTGAACTCTGAAGACGCACGGCTAAACCCGAATGATTCTAGTTTTCTAGGTATAGTGTTAGTTCTAGTTTTAGCTCTAGTGTAAAACTAGAACTAATACTAGACCTAGAACTAGAAACATTCGAGTTTATCCGCAGGTCTCTCGAGACGGCTAAACCCGAATGTTTCTGGTTCTAGCTCTGGTGTTAGTTCTAGTTGTGTACTAGCACTAACACTATACCTAGAACTAGAATCATTCAGGTTTAGCCGTCTTGAGAGACGTGCGGTTAAACTCGAATATTTCTAGTTCTAAACGATTCGTAAATGATGTATTGGAAATACTATACTCTGTTTTTAAACCAGGAGGAGTATTTTAAATTTGTCACCAGATTGACCTTGCACGTGATTGGTTGAATGCGAGGAAGGTTCACACACAGGCAATTTTGAATTTTNGGGCGCTGGGTAAATACCCGGCGGGTAGGTATTTATAAAATGGGTATTTATCCGGGTATTTACCCCGGCCCAGGATAAATACCAAAGCAGTACATATAAAAGTGATACAAGTAAAAATATAACAGATTCGGAAAAAAATTTAGAGGAAGATGATGAAATTCATCAAGATGATTGAAGACAAGGAATTGTCAGCGATCGAAGACGTATTATAATCAAGCAACCACTGCTCATTCTTCATTCTTGCGACGATGATCCGCCCAGTTCCACGTCAGCTTTGCCACAATGTTGACCATATCATTTACGTCAGATCCTCTTCGTAGGTTTTCATTTCTTATGTAGTCCCTCAGGGTTACATCCAGCATCGACCTCTCCAGCTGTCTTTGCGTTACTTTGAGCCTCCTGGTAATGGCCACCGTTAATGCTAAAGTTTCGGAACCGTATGTCATAACATAACCAAAGGAGGAAGCACGCATTGATTGAAAGCCTTTCTTTTCAAATATACAGAAATATCGCTCATGAACCTCGTAACCATCGAACTATACCGCTCTCGATACATGAACCTCATTGCCAAGATATACATAACTGTCAACTCTCTCAGTCTCATTATCCCCAATGTTAATGTTAAAGCTGAGAACAAGATTTGTCATAAATTTTGATTTCTCCACGTTGATCTTTAGCCCAACTTTTGCACACCTCCTGTAAGTCGTTCAGCATCAGTTTCATCTCTCCAAGGCTATCCGAAATAAGGACTATATCGTTCGCGTAGCGTAAATTACTTAGGTATTGCCATCAATTTGGGTTCAACATTGTATCGCCTTGTCTTACCCCACGCCCAATGGGTATTCGGTCAGTACTTACATGCAATTTTACCGTCATTGTAGCATTCTTGTAAATGTTATAAATATGTTTGGTGTATCGATAATGGACTCTGCATTCTTGAAGTACTTGCAAAACTGCCATCAACTCAATTTAAATCAAATTTTATAAATACCTCTAAATACCCATCTTGGGTAAATACCCCCGGGTATATATCCAGGAAATTTACCCTTGAAAATAAATAACCACG